TGCTTCCTGTCAGCTAATTTAAACCAGGATTAGTCACTTAAATTAATTCAAGCAGGCTAATAAGGAACATTGGTTCTACCCCTCCCTTCTGGAGCAAGATAAAGCTGGGAGCTCTCAGCCTCCTGCGAGAACAGCCCCATGTCTCTGTGGCTGATGCTTTAGGAAATTAGGGGCTGTTGAAGGTGAGATAGCAGAGGAGATGAAGACAGCCTGAAACTTCAGGGTAATTTTTAAGTCTGGACTAGCAAAGCCAGCTCTGGCCAGCGTACAGTGTGGCCAGTCAAATTTTATTTCTTTGCTTTTGCCTGCATTGTACCAGTCTGGGGATGATCTGAAAGCTGCAGCTTAAGGGAGAAGCTCTGTTGGTCACAGAGCTAAAAGCACAACTGGAAAGGAGGGGGTTTTTTTTTGGGGGGGGGATTTCTTTATTTTTTTCCCCTCCCCAATCTTTCATTTAAAAACATGAACTGCAACATGCTTCCTACAAGGTTTGCTGGTGGCTTGTATGGCTGAGAGGGGGCTGTGCCCGAGCAGCAAACGGGTATCGCGCGGAGCCGGCCCGAGTGTCCCGGGGAGGGGAAATACTGTGAAAACACTTCCTTAGCTGGGAGCGTCCTGTTTTATAATGGGATGTGGCCAACTCCCGGGGCAGGTGGGTCAACGTTTGATGCCCCAATCTGACTGGGTGAAACTGGGATTAGAGGGCATGGTGACTCACGGTGACGGCAGCCACCTTTGTGCTGTACGCGCCCGTTTTTTCCACAATGTTTTGCTTTTGTTTTCTGCTGTGATTGTTTTGGATAACCCCACAAATTAGCGCTGTGGGAAAGAGCGCGCTGGCTCCCAAACCGGGACCGGTGTCGGTGCTGGGAATGCAGCTGCCTGGCGGCTCAGGGAGAGCATTTGCTGCGGGGCAGGGAGGGGGGGATGACTCTGAGCCTTTAGTGCAACGTGTTTTAATCACAAAATAATTATCTTTAGAGTTCATATTGTGGCAGATTCCTCAAGAATGGCGAGTTTTCTCATCCAGGATCAATCCCTCAGGGTTTGTGCAGTGAATAACTGCCGCGGCCGGATGAGCAGGACCAGGGGAGACTGCACAGCCCAGGAAGGGGGGGACAGGAATTGTTTTTAACTCCCGCATCTGTTTCCCCAGCCAGGACACGCTGTGATGCACTGCGTAATGAGTTAAACGGCAGAAGGGATGTGGGGGTCCGGCTGCCGCCTCCCTCCTACGCAAAGGCGGGATGCTGTTTGTTGCCCCTTGGGCAGAGCGCCGTAGGTAGCCATCGCTCACGAAATCATTTCCGCCTTTGTGCGTGGCGTTGAGTGCAGCTGTGCGCATTGGGAACAACAGTCATCCCCCGGGAGAAGGGAGATGAGACGGGAGCTGGCGGCGCAACCAAGAGGGCTGCAGCGCCGGCACCCGACGGTGATACGGGCGCATGACGCACCCCCTTTGGAGACAGATCTTGCTATTGCATTAAGGTAATAAATCTGGGGCGTAGGAGGTGCTTACAGAGAACTGGAGAAGGATGTTGTCGGACAGAGGCTTGACTGCTCAGGTTGCTCTTTCCGGCTGCAGGAGAGGAGTGGGGCTGGTCCATGCATGTGAGCCTGGGCAGGGGTGGGCGATGCTCTGAGTCCCCAGCCTGGGAAGCTCTGAATCCTTGTGTTTTACCTAAACGGGATCACAAGATAAATGGTTTATGAATGTCACACATTCAAGGGA